TCACGCAATCCATCCATTTCTTCTTAGGTCTACCTCTTCCTCTATATCTTTCCATATTCATAGTTAACATTACCAACCTCATTTTCATTTCGTCTCGTCACATGTTCATACCATCCCAAACGCGCACTTCTCAGCTTCTCTGTCACAGGTGCCACTTTCAGACTTCCTCTAACATATTCATTACGTATTTTATCCATTCTCGTTACTCCACCCATCTATCGCAACATTAGGTTATGGTTAAACCTACCATGACCTAATGTTGGTACCATCCATGGTAAAACAGTACATTCATATTATATTAGTAACGCAAACTTGAAAATAGGTCGCGGGCTCGCATTGTTCAAAGTTTCGCCGCGACTGACATCTATCTTTTATTTTTATTTTTATTGCCCTTGTATGCAGACGAGCATACGGCCCACCTGATGGCGAGTGGTTACCGTCGCCCATGGACTTCAGCAATGCCAGGGGCAGAGCCAAGCCGCTGCCTACCGCCTACCCATCTACAGACACTACTAGCTCCCGTTAAGGATCGTTTACCGTTAAATGTACCATATTTCGCAACGTTCTTAATCAATCATCGTAATCGTTAATTAACCAAGCTGCTTGGGTTCGTTGTTTACGTATTTAACGTCAACAACACCGGGATATTGTCAGTCAGCGGGAACCTTCGTAACGGAACTATGATTAAACGTAGCTGCGTTTGTGTATCGGGGATGAGATTTATATATCTGTCCTACTACGATACGCCAACAAGAAGCCGTGTACAAATTTAATGAAATGGTTGTCATGTGGTGATGACACCAGTAGCAGAACTATTGGAACTGCTAGCTCTTACGTCACGCGAGAAGAGAAATAAATGTGTCACAAGACAACGCTTGGGCCGATTGTGCCCAATGGAGCCTCAGGCTCAGGGGGAACGTGACACTTTTTTTTTATTGCTTAGATGTGTCGACGAGCTCACAGCCCACCTGGTTTTAAGTGGTTAAGTGGTATAAAAAACATAAATGAATCGGATAAAACATTCAAAGTCACCGAATGTTATTTGACTAGTACATCAGAACGGATTTTCGAAGCTGGTCAAGCATACATTTGACGTGATAACGTCTTATAAGTTGATAAATACTGGCTGCGCGCATGAAAAAGTGTATACTAACCTGGCGTAGGGATACCGTGATCATTTTACTGATGGTAGGACCTCTTGTGAGTCTGTGCGGATAGGTACCACCACCCTGTCTATTTCTGCCGTGAAGCAGTAATGCGTTTCGGTTTGAAGGGTGGGGCAGCCGTTGTAACTGTACTGAGACCTTAGAACTTATATCTCAAGGTGGGTGACGCATTTTCGTTGTAGATGTCTATGGGCTCCAGTAATCATTTAACCCTAGGTGGGCTGTGAGCTCGTCCACCCACCTAAGAAATAAAAAAATAATAAAAAATAATAAGAAACAAAAAACAGAATAGAACATATCTATGTTATTTAGTTTAAGGAATCAATTTGTTATAATTAAGCAATATCAGCCGTAATAAAAAAGCACCAACGACGATATCAACACCGCTGAAGTGGGTATTGCAATATTTTTTTAAGAATTTACGTCCACTGAATCGTAAGCCACCAAATGGCAAGAAAATTGAAATATTTGAAGTAGAAATCTGTAAAAAAGGCGGGTTAAGAGCTGCCTCAAGCCATCTTTCTTTTTTCTTTTTTTTTATTGCCTTTGTAGACCAACGAGCATACGGCCCACCTGATGGTAAGTGGTCACCGTCGCTCATGGACGTCAGCAATGCCAGGGGCAGAGCCAAGCCGCTGCCTAACATTAAAACCGCTGTTTTTAAATAAAGAAATAATATTGCATTAGCATGTAACGCATCGACTGGTGAAATGTTATTTGGTTTAATATAAGCGACATTTTGCGGCTTTACAGGAGAGCCTTTCAGAGTTTTGAAAATTTGGAAATGTATCATAACAAAAAAACTTCTCCAGTTACTTATATAACTGATGTAAACATAATTGATGTCTATTAAAAATATCAAATTGTTAATACTAACAACAAATAAAATGCACCTTTAATTACAAAGATAAATGTCTGGTATTTCACCCCTCGAAATTATTTCAGCTTAAAACTCGAATTTCCACATTTCAGCTTACGTAAATAATTTTAATGTACAATTCGTCTGGTGGCAGTGTAACATTATTATGATCGCTTCACATGACAGTCCAAGTTATTTGTTTACAAAACAGACAACGGTAGAAACGCATTGCTGTACTTAACGCTTATTGAAACTGACATAATTGAATAAACTAGAGGCCCCGCAGTAGTCGAAATTCGACTATAATTAATTGGAATTGTAAGTTTGTACACTATTATGATTGTATTTTATACTTCTATAATCAAAAATTTCGCCAAGGCTACACTATAAAAAAATTATTAATAAAGACAAACAATATTTAATCTATTCTCAATTTGACCACAGACGTCAAGAACAAAAGTTTGACAATAAATAGTATGCATGCGTGTGTGCGTCAAATACATGGTATGTAGTGTGTGTAATGTTTTCTTTATTGATTTAATGTATCTTTTATGCAATAATTTAAAAAAATATTAGTATTGTGCACTTCTTCTCTATATTCTCTATAAGTGTGGAAAATTTCATACTCCTCCGTCCGCGCAATTTTCGTAAAAAGGGATACAAAGTTTTTGCTTCACGTATTAATATATAGATAACGACACGTTTCGTGTTCTCAATAATTGTGCGTGTCGCTTATAGCTTTATTGATTGAATTTTTAGAGAACTATTGATCAATACTTTTTTGTAAGTCAATTTTGGATATTGTTAAAATATGTTTGAGTTGTTAGTATGAAAGGAAGTTATTTGTTTTTTTGAATAATTGAGTATTTATAATTTTTTTTTATTTGATTGATTGGTGGACGTGCTCACAGCCCACCTGGTGTTAAGTGGTTACTGGAGCCCATAGACATCTACAACGTAAATGCGCCACTCACCTTGAGATATAAGTTCTAAGGTCTCAGTATAGTTACAACGGCTGCCCCACCCTTCAAACCGAAACGCATTATTGCTTCACGGCAGAAATAGGCAGGGTGGTGGTACCTTAACGCTGGGGAATCCATTTACGGATACCCGGTCGAGGGGGGTAACGGACCGGGTTATGTCGGACTCCGGCGCCTCCTGAGAGGAAGAAGGGGAGAAGAGAAGAGCCGAGGTAGGGTGGTGGTACCTACCCGTGTAGACTCACAAGAGGTCCTACCACCAGTAAACATTTCTACACATTTATTCCAAAGAATTATAGAAGTTTTTACCATTTTCGAATAAGGATTTGGATATAGACCTAGACGGGTTCGTCAACGAGTACCTGTGGTTACCTGGCTGAGATAAAGCCAGCGTGGAGATTGCGGTCATCCGTCACCCTTTTGATAAACGCATGTAGAGCAACTTACACGTCGTTTTCTTGGCTCTTCGTAGCCGATCATGAAATAGCCTTATAGAGGGGACCCGAACCAACTAGGGGACTAAGATGAGGCGAGATCCCTATTCCGGACCCAGACTCGATAACAACGATGTGCGCAAAGATAATAGCGTTTTGTGTCACCCCGTCGGCTTCTGCAAGATAGTGAACTCGCAGAAGTCGAGCATTACGTACCTCGATGCACGGCGGCGATAAATCGATTCCGATTTGAGCGTCGCCAACGCGACTTTTTCCTTCCCTTTCTGGACAGATTATAATCGTGTTTCCGCCGTGTCCAAGTCGCGTAGATAGTTGTGATACTGTCATAGTACACTTTGCCATCGTCTCAACTTCGGTCCGGTTTAGATACGAAATAAAGCCGTGGCCATCCCCGACGGCTGAGGGACCACTTCAGCGAAGTAATCGCAAAACTTCCAACGTTTATTTAGAATGAGGCCGAGGCATTTCAATTGTACTTTAACCACAATGGAGATGTCTCAGACGACGACGTGACTAATTATAATGATTATAGACTACTATCATCGCGATAACAACAGCCTATTGGTTAAGCGCAATCGCAGGAGCAATGAAAGCAAAATAACAAGCATTTGTCGTTAATTTAGATCATGATTAATCCCGGTAGCGATAAAAATAGACTCTGCAAATTAAGGTCTCAGACATTGTTCGTTTTAAATTAACCCAAAAACTCAATTCACGTTACTTAAACAGTAGTGATGTCATTACAACTTAAGCTAAATTTTATTTGTGCTGAGAGAGAATTGCTCAAAATAAAAATAGTTTCTTGATAAATGATATTTTCAGATTTTTCACGTGTAATGGCTCTAAAAAAAAAAACGTTTTTTTTTGTTGAACAATCTCGAAATTCATTTGATGTTATTCGGCTACTGGAGCTCATTAATACCACAACGTGAACGCCAGACACTTTGAGACACGAGGTCTAAGTCTTTATTGTACAAGCTAACGGGATGTCTTACCCTCAAAATGGCACACATTATTGCTTCGTGGCAAAAATAGACACCCTGCTGATGGCGTGTGGGCTCACAAGACGCCCTACCACCGTGTATGGTAAGATGGTTTGTGTGGATACCAGAAATATCATATACCAGTAATATCGGAGACATGAACGTACACCACATCAGACTCTGAGCTACAAACCTCTATAATAAAGATGCTTACTCTGATTACGTACGTAATCACGTAGGTACGTACTACTGATACACGAATTATATCCGAGAATAGTGCCGATAGCGTCATAATTATAGCGTCATATAATTCCCTTTAGCAATAGGGCTAATTCCCCATGGCTAAAGGGAATTTAAGCTGATCATTTTTTGCTTAGAAGATTGGACGATCTCACGGCACACTTGTGATAAGTGATACCGGAGCCCATAGTCATTATGTTAAAAGTTACGACCAACTAAAGGAATATTAAATATCATTGTATCTGTTCGATGATATCCTACGAAGTTGCGGTCTAATACGATCAATTTTGTAATCATTTTCTTTCCTCTTTCCGCAGATTACCTCGAAATACCAAAGATGCGCACCATGTCACCGAATAACCCAGTTAGGCGATGTCTCTTCCCAGTCGACGACCTCACGGAACAGGCGAAGATCGACAACTTCGCTAACGTACTCCGAGAGAGCATAGCAAGGGACAGAGAAGAAAAAAAGAGGAAATTTAACTTCGATTTCGAAAACGAAATACCTCTAGATGGAGTTTACGAATGGTACCGAACCGACGGTGTCAATGACTGGGTCGCTGTGAAGAAAGACCCTTGCACGGATGTCATTAAGGAGAAACCCGATGCTCTTAAGCAGTTGGAGAACGAGTCGACTCCTCGAACTAATAAGGATGAGAAGATGCCGTTGCTGAGGAAGAGAAGGAAGAGTCTAGGTTTGGTTGATGATAAGGGTGTGAGACGGAAGATTAGCTTCGATTAATAAATACATCACAATTACGTAACGTGTAATCAGATGATTTCGTAACGATTTTCATTTTTAAATTTGTGACAATTACATGTTTTTTTTGTATCTTGAATATTCAAGAAAATTTATTTAGAAAATTAGAATCAGTCAAACGATTAGTCAACATTTACAAGTATAGGCTTCGACACAAAATTACGGGAAAAGAAATACAATAGTGTTGTACGAGAATTATTTTATTTTTATTATGCTTTTGGTCCGTATCAATTGTAGTTTACAACAAAATGTAGCTGATTAATTTATTTATGAATTATAAAACGGATAATGAATATTATTGTAATACTTTTTATTATTATTACGCTTATATTATGTAAATTGTGCCACTATTTAGGCTGTATTTGTAAAAAATAAATGTATAATTTAGACATTATTTAAGTTCTATTTAATTGTTGAAAACAATGTTCGTGTTTTATATATTTCCAATATACAGTTAGACATCACAAATATGTACTGTTTCTTGTATTTTTATAAAGGTTTTTAAAAATTACTAGCTACGTCAACTCCGTTCTGCTGTATGTGGCAAAACAAAAATAATTTTCTTTCCAAATACTCTACTTATTTCTTAACGAACTTTATAAATTTTGATCGCATTTCATAATTATCGCACCCATAAAAATAAAACAAGGATAACTTATGACTCTCGTAAATAAAACTTATAATTGACGTTATGGTTGTGACTTGCAACATCTATTGACCTCCTTCTTGACATTATTAGTTTAGCCAAATTCTTGATAAGGGACGAACGTGATCACCGATTAAAAATTTTTATTACTATTTTTATTCTAGTTTAATTTTGTAAATACGATTTCGAGAAACGAGTATTTCAAGTGAAAGAAAACACGAGTCTAGTTCCCGAATGGATTTGTACAAAAAATATAGCATATCGTGTTACGTTGCTTAAAATTAATAGCATTTGCAAAAGCGTATACGCGTTTCGTTTTAATTGGTCAATCCCTATATAAACATGGTGTAGCCTAAAAACTGTTACATTGACTTTTCCTTTTTGGGTTATTGAGTCAATTAAAAAAAAAACGAGAAATAATGCATTTCAATGATTCCTCGAATGCCCTACAGTATTCTTCAAAATCAACTCATTTGTACCTGGATAATATTAAAATGCATTTGTCGTGAAACTCGTTAGTGTTTAATTAAATTAATTTATTATTAACGTAACTGTAAATTATTAGAATCCCACTAGAAAAAAAGTCTGATTTTTGTTTTATTAATAAAATGTTAACATTTTGTAAATATGTATTTATTTAAAATTCGAATTGGTAAATTTAATAAGCGATAAACGTTTGAAGTTGGTAGGTACCAAGAAAAAACTTGGTAATACGATAAACATTAATTTTATTATGATTTTAGAATTTGATCACCGTTTTTACAGGGGGCTCTACATTCTCGCTTGCCCATTGAAAAACTAAAAAGTGAATTCTCACAAATCGAAATAAATATTCGATTTGCAAGACAGACTATCTGACATTCCTTTTGATGGTGAGTGATTAATGCTTTCCGCGTACACCGGTAATGTTAGACGCTCAGTCAGATTGTAGCTTATAGTAAAGTGATATATGAGTCGACTATTATCAAAGCCGGCAATGTGACTTTTGGACAATTATTGGTAAATCAGAAAAACGAATTATTGACTTTGTATTCCATTGGCAGTCACAAAACTCTTCTGAACGATATCTTAGATAAATAACAGGTTAAGTATTAACCTTTATTTAATGCAGGTTTTGAACCGTATTCTTTGAAGGAGACGATTATATTCAAATCAATCTGTATTGGCATATCAATAACATTTTTTTGTCCAAATGCACAGATTGCCACCTTTGATAATAGACGACTCATATCTACTAACTACCATACCCGTTGTAACTATACTTGAGACTAGAACTTATATCTCAAAGTGTCGTAGATGTCTATGGGCTCCAGTAACCACTTAACACCAGGCGGGCTGTGAGCTCGTCCACTCATCTAAGCAATAAAAAAAAAACAAAAAAAATATATATATATATTATTGACAAAACAAGGCCAAAAACTCTTTTTTTATACTTTCATGTACATTTTTAAAGGCCTTCCAGATTAAATGTGATAAAGTTGCTCTTGGACATCAACAAGAAACTTGCTTGGAGAAGGACATGCCACAGCGGTAGATACTATATTAGACGGCTTGCATTACTCGCTTCTATGGGAGACGATGAACACTTACCATCAGTTACGCCGTTTTCTCTCGTCTGCCATCAATGACAATAAAAAGATAAACATTAAAATTGTTGGTGGGCTTTTCTTTACAGCGATATGTTCTACGGAAATTTTACGTTGGAATTAATATTTGAACAAAAATCAAATTGTTTTAAACGACCGTACCACTTAAACTATAACTATATTAATTTGTCTAAAAAATTCAAACTTACTAATAATAATTTTTAAATAATATGAATTCTAACAATAATAATAATAACAATAAGATGTTGGTTTAGAAAATACGAATAATGGGAATTACAGTAACATATAATAATTTTAATAATAAATATATTTTCTTCGTGAAACAGCTATGTCCCAAAGTCCCGTAGGAGTTCTGTAATTAATTTAGTAAATTTACACACTTGTATTAATATAGACATATTTCATTTATATTTTGTACTTATTTACGTTTTAGATTTTGGTATTCGATGTGTATAGTTTTTACGAGCTTGCCATAAATTTATTTATTTTTAACGTGTAATTTGAGGAATTTTTGTGATGATTTCAATAAACTGAATCAATCTTCATTTTTGTTTTTCTTTATTTTTATCTTTGTGCGGACTATTAAACACACTTTGAGCTTTAAGAGGTACTCATGATGTCTGGTCTTGTGTATTAGTATTTTTTGTTTTTGTAAGAAAGGATTATTGGTCGCTCAGACTCTTTTCCAGTTTCGACAGGACAGCTTGACGAGCATGGGCTGAGCCAAGAGGAGTGGGATTTGCTAACAGCTGCCCGAGTGCCTCAAAAGAAAACCTAACGGCTCAAAGATAACTGCTTCGCGAATGCATCTACCACCGGATGAGAATCACGAGCCGCCAAGAACATCCGCCGCGAAAATCAGCGGCAATTCAAGCCAGAACCTAAGCCTGAATACCGGAAACAATGCTATAAGCACCAAGATAGCTACTAGCTGTAAGAACTATTTTGTATGTTTTTTTTTAATGAATTGGATTTTTTTTTTTATATCAAATGGTAAGTAAGACCACTTTGCGGTGGCTCGAGATACGTCTATAGCCAGCATATTATTGTAGGATGTGGTTGGTACCTACGTTAATTTGCGTTAATTTGCCAAGCTTCTGTTACTGGCCCCCTGTCTTTTTCCAAGTCCTCTCTGGGTAAAGGCTTTAGTAGCACGACGGAAAGGTTTCTTAGTGATCCCACTCCGAAATTCCCGGCTTCTTACGGAACCAACACATCGGCTAAAGATCTGGCGATTCAAATTTCCGAAACAAAAACGGGTGTGTAGTACAGCAGCCAATGGCAGTTGGTCTGCCGCAAATCAGACAATACTAACTAGGTAAATTAGTTTGTAGCTTATCGAAATGCTTGAAGCACCCAATCGTTTCACAGGTTTTGGCAAAATCTAAAGAACAGTTTTAACTTAAATTCGCTCAGATTCGAGAACAAATCCTTGAACAATTAAAAACAAATTAAGTAATGACAATTATTAGTGTAATTTGTAGCTAACCGTTAGGTTAGTGCACCGTTGAACATAATTCACGAGGAAATTGGGCGGCCCGCATCCATGCTTACCTATCTTTAGTAAAGCTATAGAACATCATTACACTAGATGTGGCTTATGGACGACAACAATGGACCGGAACGTTATTAAATGAACCGTTAATGAATCTATAATCTTATCGTAATAATAATCTTATCTTGTTTTATCCTGTTGATACTGTTCAGGATATTAGAGCAAAGTTATAAAATTGTTGTATTGTCATCGGTCCTTGACGCGTGTGGAAATTTTCTAGTTAATCGGATGTCTTGAAGTAATTGCAAATGACGTTCAAAGATTCCGTAAAATACAAACAAACATACACACATACCAAGCTAATGGCGTGTTAATAATATGCCTTCAGTTAATGCCACAACTGATATGAATCTAATGTATAATGTAACATACGATTTGTAGAAATTTGTAAAAAGATTTAAACTGAAAAGCGTGCTAAAGAATTAGACATACATATATTCATACTTACATAAAAATACACATGTTACGCTCGAAAAAATTAATCTCCTTCGGTAGTCAAGTAAATAAATATAAATATATCAAGTTGCTTCGTGAATGACGAACAAACCGACAAATGCAAATGAATTAAAATTCAAACTAATATTTATGTTTTGTTACATTAGTTTACTAAAGTTTTATAAAATATTTAATACTACCAAAATTATCAGTAAACAAGAAAATTAGTTTTTGTTCAATTACCTTTGTCCTGCCTGTTGAGGAATACGCATGTAATAGACATTATTTTAATACTTGTCATTTAAATGAGACGGAACGATATCTATATATTAATACGTGAAGCAAAAACTTTGTATCCTTTTTTACGAAAATTGCGCGGACGGAGGAGTATGAAATTTTCCACATTTATAGAGAATATAGAGAAGAAGTGCACAATGCTAATTTTTTTTTTAAATAATACATAAAAGATACATTAAATCGATAAAGAAAACATTACACACGCTACATATCATGTATTTGACGCACACACGCATGCATACTATTTATTGTCAAACTTTTGTTTTTGAAGTTTGTTGTCAAATTGATAATAGATTAAATATTGTTTGTCTTTGTTAATATTTTTTATAGTGTAATCTTGGCGAAATTTGTGATTATAGAAGTATAAAATACAATCAAAATAGTGTACAAACTTACAATTCCAATTAATTATGGTCGAATTTCGACTACTGCGGGACCTCTAGTTATTATTATTTTGGAGAATGAAACCTAATTTTCAGTTCAATCGATCTAAAGTTGCCTTTGAAGAATCTATGGCATTAAAATGATTATATTTTAATGAAGAGGTCGATGCCGCGCCGTTTTGAAATAGGCAATCATTTATTTGCCGTATCTAGTTGCAGAAACACTCTATGCTCGGTCGGTTGAGAATCATCGAGGCAGAACTGGGGGCACGGGTGTTCCTCACGTAAGAACTGATTACATTCCAACATTAAATTACGTAATAGATTACGTAACTAAATAGGTCTTTAATCTGTAAACAGTATGTTGATTGACGCAAAACGCGCAGCGTAAATCGGTAGATAAATTTCTTAATTTAAGGAATCCTAGATGTCAACAACAACAAATTGAAACATGGGATGAACATTATACATGTATTTTTATTTATTTACTTATTTATTTATGTACACACAGAACAGAAGACATAGTACAGAGTAATACGAAAATTGTGTACAAAGGCACTGCTTATTTCTTTAAGAAATCTCTTCCAGCAGACCTGCGAGAGGATAATGAGAATAATAATAAAAAGTGATGAGTGTGTGTAGAACAAATAACACATAACTAAAATAACAAATACAACATGAGAATTATAGTAATGCACATACACATACCAAATATTGTTAAACTTGAATACAAAATATTATAAGTAACACAGTCGTATGTATATTGTATTTGAGACATGATCGATTTTCGTGACGTTCATTTTGGTACTCTTATGGATAGCTATTGTAGTGGTCCAGAGAACATTACCGGAGTCAGTATCGACTGTTTGATTTAAGCCTTAGTTCTTGTCTCGTGACTGTGTGTGTGGGTGTGTGTATTCTTCACAGTTTCTACTTAGAGCCCTTCTTCAAGCGAGGTTCGAAAGAGTCTTAAGAGGCAGTCAGAGATTGATGTCCATTAGTGTTGGTGACTACTCCCTATCGGTGAGCCATGTCAATTGTTTCGCGGGTGATGCCTCAAATATAGAAGGTTTTACTTTTAATTGCGTAAATGTTTCAATGGTACGAAGTGTCCTAAGCCCACTCGAGTTGGTAACGCTGATTTAAGTTATAATAGCTATTGCTTTGAAAGAAGAACAAAAAACAACACTCTGTGTTTTAGTATCTTTGAGTTCCAGTAACCTCTTAAACTCAAGGGGGCCCAGAACTCGGTTTTTTTATTGCTTAGATGGGTGGACGAGCTCACAGTCCACCTGATGTTAAGTGGTTACTGGAGCCCATAAACATCTACAAAGTAAATGCGCCACCCACCTTGAGATATAAGTTCTAAGATCTCAGTAAAGTTACAACGGCTGCCCTACCCTTGAAACCGAAACGCATTACTGATTCACGGCAGAAATAGGTAGGGCGGTGGTACCTGCCCGTGCAGACTCACAAGCGGTCCTACCACCTGTAATTACGCAAATTATAATTTTGCGGGTTTGATTTTTATAACACGATGTTATTCCTTCACCATGGAAGTCAATCGTGAAAAATTGCTAAGTACGTATTTCATTAGAAAAATTGGTACCCGCCTGCGGGATTCGAACACCGGTGCATCGCTCGATACGAATGCACCGGACGTCTTATCCTTCAAGCCACAACGACTTCAAGCTACTTGAAATGAATAAGCTTTAGATTTCGATCATTTCTCAAACCGATTAGTTGCGTTCGCGTGATGCC